AGTTCAGTTTTAGTTCAGTTCTAGCTCAGTTCTAGTTCAGTTCTAGTTCAGTTCTAGTTCGGTTCTAGTTCAGTTTTAGTTCAAGTCCAGTTCTAGTTCAGTTCTAGTTCAGTTCTAGTTCAGTTCTAGTTCAGTTCTAGTTCAGTTCTAGTTCATTTCTAGTTCAGTTCTAGTCAGTTCTAGTCAGTTCTAGTTCAGTTCTAGTTCAGTTCTAGTTCAGTTCTAGTTCAGTTCTAGTTCAGTTCTAGTTCAGTTCTAGTTCAGTTCTAGTTCAGTTCTAGTTCAGTTCTAGTTCAGTTCTAGTTCAGTTCTAGTTCAAGTCCAGTTCTAGTTCAGTTCTAATTCAGTTCTAGTTCAGTTTTAGTTCAGTTCTAGTTCAGTTCTAGTTCAGTTCTAGTTCATTTCTAGTTCAGTTTTAGTTCAGTTCTAGTTCAGTTCTAGTTCATTTCTAGTTCAGTTCTAGTTCAGTTCTAGTTCAGTTCTAGTTCAGTTCTAGTTCAGTTCTAGTTCAGTTCTAGTTCAGTTCTAGTTCAGTTCTAGTTCAGTTCTAGTTCAGTTCTAGTTCAGTTCTAGTTCAGTTCTAGTTCTAGTTCAGTTCTAGTTCAAGTCCAGTTCTAGTTCAGTTCTAGTTCAGTTCTAGTTCAGTTTTAGTTCAGTTCTAGTTCAGTTCTAGTTCAGTTCTAGTTCATTTCTAGTTCAGTTTTAGTTCAGTTCTAGTTCAGTTCTAGTTCATTTCTAGTTCAGTTCTAGTTCAGTTCTAGTTCAGTTCTAGTTCAGTTCTAGTTCAGTTCTAGTTCAGTTCTAGTTCAGTTCTAGTTCAGTTCTAGTTCAGTTCTAGTTCAGTTCTAGTTCAGTTCTAGTTCAGTTCTAGTTCAGTTCTAGTTCAGTTCTAGTTCAGTTCTAGTTCAGTTCTAGTTCAGTTCTAGTTCAGTTCTAGTTCAGTTCTAGTTCAGTTCTAGTTCAGTTCTAGTTCAGTTCTAGTTCAGTTCAGTTCTAGTTCAGTTCAGTTCAGTTCTAGTTCTAGTTCAGTTCTAGTTCAGTTCTAGTTCAGTTCTAGTTCAGTTCTAGTTCAGTTCTAGTTCAGTTCTAGTTCAGTTCTAGTTCAGTTCTAGTTCAGTTATAGTTCAGTTTCTAGTTCAGTTCTAGTTCAGTTCTAGTTCAGTCTAGTTCAGTTCTAGTTCAGTTCTAGTTCAGTTCTAGTTCAGTTCTAGTTCAGTTCTAGTTCAGTTCTAGGTCAGTCCAATACAGATCTACAGACTAGACTAGTCAAGAGACAGGTGCAAAGATCGATCCCTATATTAGATTTCTAAATTTCAACTTGCCATGCCTGGTAAATAATATAATAAAACACATTTTATATAAAGATGTTGCTTTGTATATGTAGATTTCAATGGGAAAAACCCATTGATTTTAAAATTTAGGTATACAGAAAATATTTATATTTGTAGAACAAAATGATTTTATAATAATAAAAGTTTAAAATCCATATTAAACAAATTCTTAAGTTTAAGCAGGAGTTTTTTTTTTAAGTTTACTTATCAATAATTTAAAATCTCTTCCTTTTTGTGCATAAAACTCTTTGTAACTCAAAAAGTAGCTAAGGGAGTTATTATAAAATATTACTCTATGAGCAATGAAATAAATAAAGCGTTTTTTCAGAGTTTTCTGAAACTTCCTACCTTTTCATTCCTTACTCAGTTAAAATAACCACCACTGAACTGCTCTATTATCATCACACACATCAAGAAATGTAAAAAAAGAGTGTGTGTTTAAATTTGAAAATTGTATTCTTTCTTATTGAGATGAGTTTTTTTTTTTTTGGGGTCTGGGAGACATTTCCTCATTTGCCTCAATAAACAATTGAAATCTTTAAAAGAAATCTCTAAAATACTGTCGGTTTAGAGTAGAAAATATGAAAGACAGACAGACCTCATATCATTATACTTTTTATGAATGTGGTTTAAGTTTTTAATATTACTGATTAGTGGATTTTTTTTGGAGCAATCAGTTTTGTCTCTATGGGTTTTTTTGTGCTTTTTTAGAGTATCCAACTACAAAAACAAATTGGACATGCATTTTAAATACTATGTTCCAGTATTTTGTTTACTATTAGTTAACTGTTAAGTTTTTTTTTTATATTTTTTATTAAAAAAGTGAGAGTTGTTATTTTTTGTTGTAGTAACAGAGAATTTTGCCTACTTTAGTCTCACAGCATAAACCAGAGACCTTTTGGATTTGTCTGTCACCCATCTAGACAATTTTTTTTTTTTAATTTTTATCTCTGTTTACAAACAATCTTTTTAGACATTTAAGGCCTCAAGAAGAGAAAACGTGTCGACTTATGCCGGTCTGAATGTTATTACTAAAACAATATTAAAAATTTTAATTACTTTAATAATAATTACCAGTTAAAATTGTTAACTGACTGCGTTTTAAGATTTTTAAGCAAAAAAAAAAAAAACAAACTGGAAATAATAAAACATTACAAAACTTTTTGTTCAAGTTGTTAAAAACAAAATTTTTGAAAGCATTCAAAAAACCTGCTTGTGTAATACCCACAAAATTAAACACAAGACCGGAAATGGTTAACCAAACGTTAAAAAGTAAACAAATTACAAAAAACAGAAAAAAGTAAAAAAAATAAGATTTTACAAAAAATTTATGAAATTTTAAAGAAATTTCTTTACACATTAAAGAATCTTCTACTCCATAAACTAAACTTAGTCTATTCTATAGACAAAACTTTAGTCTATTCTATAGACTAAACGTTAGTCTATTCTATAGACTAAACTTTAGTCTATTCTATAGACTAAACTTTAGTCTATTCTATAGACTAAACTTTAGTCTATTCTATAGACTAAACTTTAGTCTATTCTATAGACTAAACTTTAGTCTATTCTATAGACTAAACTTTAGTCTATTCTATAGACTAAACTTTAGTCTATTCTATAGACTAAACTTTAGTCTATTCTATAGACTAAACTTTAGTCTATTCTATAGACTAAACTTTAGTCTATTCTATAGACTAAACTTTAGTCTATTCTATAGACTAAACTTTAGTCTATTCTATAGACTAAACTTTAGTCTATTCTATAGACTAAACTTTAGTCTATTCTATAGACTAAACTTTAGTCTATTCTATAGACTAAACTTTAGTCTATTCTATAGACTAAACTTTAGTCTATTCTAGACTAACTTAGTCTATTAGACTAAACTTTAGTCTATTCTATAGACTAAACTTTAGTCTATTCTATAGACTAAACTTTAGTCTATTCTATAGACTAAACTTTAGTCTATTCTATAGACTAAACTTTAGTCTATTCTATAGACTAAACTTTAGTCTATTCTATAGACTAAACTTTAGTCTATTCTATAGACTAAACTTTAGTCTATTCTATAGACTAAACTTTAGTCTATTCTATAGACTAAACTTTAGTCTATTCTATAGACTAAACTTTAGTCTATTCTATAGACTAAACTTTAGTCTATTCTATAGACTAAACTTTAGTCTATTCTATAGACTAAACTTTAGTCTATTCTATAGACTAAACTTTAGTCTATTCTATAGACTAAACTTTAGTCTATTCTATAGACTAAACTTTAGTCTATTCTATAGACTAAACTTTAGTCTATTCTATAGACTAAACTTTAGTCTATTCTATAGACTAAACTTTAGTCTATTCTATAGACTAAACTTTAGTCTATTCTATAGACTAAACTTTAGTCTATTCTATAGACTAAACTTTAGTCTATTCTATAGACTAAACTTTAGTCTATTCTATAGACTAAACTTTAGTCTATTCTATAGACTAAACTTTAGTCTATTCTATAGACTAAACTTTAGTCTATTCTATAGACTAAACTTTAGTCTATTCTATAGACTAAACTTTAGTCTATTCTATAGACTAAACTTTAGTCTATTCTATAGACTAAACTTTAGTCTATTCTATAGACTAAACTTAGTCTATTCTATAGACAAACTTTAGTCTATTCTATAGACTAAACTTTAGTCTATTCTATAGACAAACTTTAGTATATTCTATAGACTAAACTTTAGTCTATTCTATAGACTAAACTTTAGTCTATTCTATAGACTAAACTTTAGTCTATTCTATAGACTAAACTTTAGACTAAAGTTTAGTCTATTCTAAGACTAAAGTTTAGTCTATTCTAAGACTAAACTTTAGTCTATTCTAAAGACTAAAGTTTAGTCTATAGAATAGACTAAAGTTTAGACTATTCTATAGACTAAACTTTATTCTATTCTATAGACTAAACTTTATTCTATTCTATAGACTAAACTTTAGTCTATTCTATAGACTAAACTTTATTCTATTCTATAGACTAAACTTTATTCTATTCTATAGACTAAACTTTATTCTATTCTATAGACTAAACTTTAGTCTATTCTATAGACTAAACTTTAGTCTATTCTATAGACTAAACTTTAGTCTATTCTATAGACTAAACTTTAGTCTATTCTATAGACTAAACTTTAGTCTATTCTATAGACTAAACTTTAGTCTATTCTATAGACTAAACTTTAGTCTATTCTATAGACTAAACTTTAGTCTATTCTATAGACTAAACTTTAGTCTATTCTATAAACTAAACTTTAGTCTATTCTATAGACTAAACTTTAGTCTATTCTATAGACTAAACTTTAGTCTATTCTATAGACTAAACTTTAGTCTGTTCTATAGACTAAACTTTAGTCTATTCTATAGACTAAACTTTAGTCTATTCTATAGACTAAACTTTAGTCTATTCTATAGACTAAACTTTAGTCTATTCTATAGACTAAACTTTAGTCTATTCTATAGACTAAACTTTAGTATATTCTATAGACTAAACTTTAGTCTATTCTATAGACTAAACATTAAACTATTCTATGGACTAAACTTTAAGGTTTCATTCTAGTTAAATCTCCACTGTTTTGCTTTTAAATACTTTAAAAACTTTCTATTATTAATAATTTTTATCACTTTAAAAACACTTACCTTTAGCAAATCCAGTAGAAATGGTGAAGCAGCACACAGAACAATCTTGTGGGCGGGAAAACTACGACCACCGGCTGCCAAAGTACAATCCACTAGATCGCCATGACAACGCAGCAATTGTATGGCCGATACCAATGAGGTGCCATAGTCACCCCAGGTAAGGGAATATAAAGAATTCATGGGCAAGGCCATCATTGAGTCCACCGATTCACCAACAGCACAAACGTCCTCAATGGGCTGTTGCTGTTGTTGAATTGGGTGGTAATAGTGGGTAATGGTGGCGAAATTTAATTAACACACCGGGGGATATAAAAAATATGTAATAGTTTATTTGTAGATTTGGCGTTTTATTTTACCAGACACTTGCACAGCACTTGGTAGGACCAAGTTGTTTTCTTGGGATTTTTTTATTTCTTTGTGATAGTTTTGTTTAGTTTTTTTTATAAAGTTAATTTTTCACTATTTTAAGGTCTTTTTTTAATATTTTTGTGTTAATTTGTGGTTAAAGCCTCTTTAAAAGAGTTTTAACATACAGAGTTGTTGTTTTTTATTTGTTTTGCCTTTTGCCTAAACTCTCTGCTATATACGAAAAAAAACTGTAAATAAGAAAAAAAAAAACACACATATGTAAACAAACATATTTACAAAGAGGGGAAAAATAACTCAACACTCTGGCTTTCTCTCTCTTACTTATAAGAGTATAAAGGGGGATTTATATTTATCAAGCAGAGCAGTTATTTGAAATGAGAGAAAGAGAAAGGAGAGTTTGTTATTTCAATTATAGTATAAAAGGGGGAGTTGGGGAGGTATTTCTTTTGTTGTTTTTTTTTTCAATAAAATGTTTCAGCCAGTTTTTTTTAACACAAAATTTGTATTGCGCAGTGTTCAAAGTTAAAAAATTTATAAAAAATTTATATAAATTTGTTAAAACAATATGTTTTATACAAAACTATAAAACAATGTTTAAAATTAATATATAAAATTTTAATTTTAAAATTTCATTTAAAAAAAAAACACTGCCACGTTGTTATTAATTAATTAAGCCTTTATTATTTATTAAAAATTCTTTAATTAGTAAATGTTTTAACTATTTTTTTGTGTAAATTAACATATTCCCGCTTTTTTATAGTTTCTTTTTTTAATATAAATTCAAATAATCTATTCTTTTTGTTTTTAATTCTCATGAGTACTCAAATAAAATCACTTCACTAAAAATCTTTTGAAATACTTTTTTTTTTGTACCTTTTTTTTTCAAATCAAAAATCTCACCGGAGATTTAACTTAAAATGACGTGCGCTCACAACTACTCGCCAACGTTGAAAATTTTCTACTAAAAATTGAGTTTTTCAAAAATTCCCTGAAAAGTCATACGTTTTTAATGCTCGTCGTCTCACCACTCGTTTCTTTATTCAGAAAAAAAAACACACACACACATACTCACTCACGACAAAAACTGCTTAAATGTTATTGTTGTTGCTGTTTTCGTATTGTATTATTTTAATGGGAGCAAGATGGCTGACGCTCTTCTCGTACTAAACAGCAACAACAATAACACAAAACACACATTCACTAAAGTTAAAGTAAAATAAAAGAGGTACAGTCAGAGTCGTCTGTCATTCATATAGTGAGCTCGTGTTTTTTCTTGTTTTTGTTAATTTTTTTTTTCATTATGCTTCCTCACACAAGATTGCCAGATTTAGAAAATTTATTAAAGAGAAACTCTTGAAAATTAACTCTAGAATGTTTTGTGTATTTTAGCTGTTCAGGCAAGGGATGGAAAGTTTAGTACTATTGTACTTTGTTCAGTAGTTTATGATATCCTCTAGATCGTAGACTAGGCTATAGTCTAGACTAGACTATTAACTAATTTATACACTAGACTATAGACTAGACAATAGACTATGCTATGACTGGACCATTGACTAGCCCTTTGACGACCATAGGCAAACATACTTGCCAGAAAATTTTTAGTATATACATATATCTGTTCAAGTGACATACAGAGAGAATCTGTCAACCGATTTTGTCAAATTTATTTGCCAAGCGATACATAGGACTTATATGTTACCTAGGAGAGCAATTTCTTTATTCTATCTATTATGAGGACAAAGATATCGACAATCAAACAAAAAATTAAATTGATTAAACCAAAAGGGTTTGGTCGTCAAAGGGCTAGACTATAGACTAGACTGGACTAGAATACAGACTCGACTACAGACTAAACTCTAAACTAGTCTAAAGTCTACACTAAAGACGATAATATAGACTAGACTCTAGGCAAGTCTATAGACTAGACTATAGACTAGACTATAGACTAGGCTATAGACTAGACTATAGACTAGACTATAGACTAGACTATAGACTAGACTATAGACTAGACTATAGATACATAGGACTTATATGTTACCTAGGAGAGCAATTTCTTTATTCTATCTATTATGAGGAGATAGATATCGACAATCAAATAAAAAATTAAATTGATTAAACCAAAAGGGTTTGGTCGTCAAAGGGCTAGACTATAGACTAGACTGGACTAGAATACAGACTCGACTACAGACTAAACTCTAAACTAGTCTAAAGTCTACACTAAAGACGATAATATAGACTAGACTCTAGGCAAGTCTATAGACTAGACTATAGACTAGACCATAGACTAGACTATAAACTAGACTATAGACTAGACTATAGACTAGACTATAGACTAGACTATAGACTAGACTATAGACTAGACTATAGACTAGACTATAGACTAGACTATAGACTAGACTATAGACTAGACTATAGGCAAGACTATAGACTAGACTATAAACTAGACTATAGACTAGACTATAGACTAGACTATAGACTAGACTATGGACTAGACTATAGACTAGACTATAGACTAGACTATAGACTAGACTATAGACTAGACTATAGACTAGACTATAGACTAGACTATAGACTAGACTATAGACTAGACTATAGACTAGACTATAGACTAGACTATAGACTAGACTATAGACTAGACTATAGACTAGACTATAGACTAGACTATAGACTAGACTATAGACTAGACTATAGACTAGACTATAAACTAGACTATAGACCAGACTGTAGATAAACTGTTTATAAACTGGTAGACTAATCAATAGAATAGTCAGTAGACAAGTCCATAGATTAGTTCATAGACTGGTCAGTAGACTAATCAAGAGGCTATTTCATACATTATTCAGAAGACTAGTCCATTTATCCACAAATTAGTCATTAAACTTGTCAATAGATTAATCAATAGACGAGTCCATATTGCATAGTCAATAGACTAGTTAAAAGATTAATAAAAAAACTTGTTAACACATTAATCAATAGACTAATTTATAGACAAGTTCATAGACTAACCTTTAGCTAAGTACATATATAGACTAGCTTAACGACACCAAAATTTCAATTTTCCATGCCTGATTGCAACCACGTTGAAGAGTGAAAATTATTTTTTTGTTTTCCTTCCACTTTCAGGTTAAATGTAACTAAAACTCTGACCGTTTTATTATTTTAGCTCTAGATTCTTTTTAGAAATTTTTTGCTTTTAAATATCTTATTGTTATTGTATCTACTAAATTTAGATCTCTTCTTTGGGTTATTTTGTTGGGAGAGTGAGGCATGATTTTCTTTCGTTTCAATTGTGTTTGAACAAAAATCCAATTGCAATTTGGAGATATTTTTGTCATTAAGTAGTTTTTCATAAGCCGGTGTATTTCACAAAAAAAAAACACAAACTTTATCTCAATTTATTGAAAAAATCTCTGTTTACATTTTTATTATGGTTTGTTTGAGTTTAAAGGAATGTTTTTGAAATGCAGTATTTTTAATATTAATTTGCATTATCTCTAGGTTAACCGCGTTTTTAGTATTATATGTATTATAGAGTGGTTTGTTTAGGTATTTAATCAGTTTTTATAATAATATTTGTTAAATAGTTTGGGAAATAAAATAAAAATTTATTCAAAAGCAAATATTTTTATTAAATCTCATACAAGTTTTAACATTTTGTAAAATTCATTAGATGTTTTTTTTTTATTCTCGAAAAACTACTTTTTAAATCCACATATTCTTGGGGAAAACTACGGTTTATGCTAAAAATATTAGGAATAGTATTTTAGAATAATATTTAAATAAAAACTACAAGTTTAAAGTTTTTAATTAAATTCTCTAGATAATTCAAAGTTTTTTTTAATATTCTTTAACAAATTATTTGTAATTTTAAGTTTTCTACAAAACTTTATCTATAAACTTTTCAAAAAATCATTGACTAGTTTCAAGTTTCATACAAAATATTTCGCTGGCTTCAAGTTTCTTAAAGAAATGTTCCGATTTCTCTGTAATTTGTTAATATATCGTTCGTTAGCTTCAAGTTTTCTGAAAAAATCTACTGATTCCTTTGGAATTTGTCAAGTTTCCTAAAAATCTTTCACTAGCTTTAAGTTTCATAGAGAAATATTATGCTGGCTTCAAGTTTCCTAAAAAATCTTTCACTAGCTACAAGTTTCCTAAAGAATCTTTCGCTAGCTTCAAGTTTTCTAAAGAAATCTTATGATTCCTATGTTATTTGACAAGATATATTTCTCTAGCTTCAAGATTCTTTAAGAAATCTTTGACTAGCTTCAAGTTATGTAAAGATTCTTCTGAATCCTTTCGAATTTCGAAATTTTCTAACAATATCTTTAGACAGTTTTAGGTTTTCTAATAAAGTTTTTCGTTAGTTTCAAATTTTCTATAATAATCGTTTGCAAAATCCCTGTTTTTATTTTCTACAGAAGTCTTTCGGTTCCTTTTTTATTTCTCCAGAAATCCAGAAATATTAAGCTGGCTTCAAGTTTCCTAATAAAATCTTTCACTAGCTTCAAGTTAAAGTGAAAGTCAAGATATCTTTCATTAGCTTCAAGTTTCCTAAAGAAATATTTTGCTAGCGTCAGCTTTAAGTTTTCTAAAGAAATCCTTCTATTCCTTTATAATTTAACAATATATCTTTCGCTAGCTTCAAGTTTCCTAAATAAAACTTTCGCTAGATTCATAATTTCGAATAAAATCTTTCGGTTTCAACATTTTCTTATAACTTTCATATGTATATAAATTTCCATATGTACCTACATATGTATATGGTTTCTAAAAAATATCCAAGTTTCTTTATTTTTCAAATCCAAAATATTTAGAACATTTATTATTAATTTTTCTCTAACCCCATTATTTCCCTCCAAAAAAATTTATACGTAATTATTTTTTTTTTTTGGTATTTAGATATTGAAAAATTCTGTTCCGTTGTTGTGATGTGTGTTGCTTGATTGGATGATGCCCAGCCAAGACCAAAAATAAACTGGTGTGTGCAATTTCACCCAAAACTCATAAATGTTTATTTTATCATCAATTTCTACTATAAATATGTTAAAGAATTGTGTACGAGTATTTAGTACTCGCATGAGGTAAGAGGTTTATTTTTGTTTTTGTTATGTTATTCATTTCAATCTCATTGTGAGGTGGTGCATCTCAATCTCCTCGAAAATATTTGTATTTACAAAAGTATAAAACTAATTTCTATACTAAAAAAAAACACGGGCGCTCTATTTATATTGTAGCATGGAATTGTATGTGAGTTCCTCTTCATTTAAATTTATAAAAACTCTTCGTTATTTTCCATTCTGAGGAGGAACTAATCGAAAAACTGTTTTTTTTTTCTTTAGACAAAATCAAAAAATCAGCCTACACTCACCACATTTTAACGAGATACACATGAATCAGTCTCGAAATAAACAACAACAAATTGTAAAGGGAGTATAAAAAAGAGGGTTCATAGAGCTCTAGCAACAAAAACATTAAAGTTTTTTCTTCTCGCCATGACAAAAATGAAAGAAAACAAATATCTACCACTCTATATGTGGACTGAAAAGAATGAAAAACCTAAAATTTAAGAGGAATTGACGCATTTCAAACTCTCAAGTAGTGAAATCTTATAAGAATTTTTCTATTGTTGTTGTGTTAATTTTATTTTAAAATAAAACCAAATAACCCTCAGTTCAGAGAATGGAGGGCAACGATGTCTGTCTTTTTGTCTGTCCGCATGACTGTCTATCTCATTCTCGTTTGTTTACTCGAAAACATTTTAGAAACTCACAGCACACAGCTCTTGACTAAAAATTCACGTACAAATAATAAACGTTGTTGGCCTAGCAGCCAGCACAATAAAGACGCAAGAACACAAATACAGCAGAAAAAATAACATAAAGTTCAACTTAAAAAAAATATAGTTTTTTGTACAATGACGTTGTAAGAGTGCCAAAACATGACGTACAAACTATTTTAAATTTTGTTTTACGAGAATTTATGAAATTAGTTAACTAAGTTCTTTATAAACTCAACTGAGAAAATTAAAGTAAGAAGTATGAGCCGCCATTGATACCTACCATTAGAATAGTAATGTCACAATAAAGCATTTCTATCCGGATAATTTAAATTTATGATGAAAACATGTCGAAGGCTTTATATGGTGGCTTAGGGGCAAATATGGACAAGCCGTAAAATTTGTGAATAATTTATAGTACTAAAGTCTGAATGCAGATTGTGTTTATAAATAGACTCAGTAATTTCTGAAGGGATGTATGTAGGGTCATGGGGCGATCTTATGAATTTGCAGGGTCATCAAATCTATAAAAGCCGATGATATTGTTTTTACTAATATGAGCCAGAATTTCGGGGTTCATTTCTATGGGGCTTGAAATAAGGACCGATTTCTTTCAAAGGCTCCTTGGGTCAAATAAAAGTGCCAAATTTCATCCAATTATCTGAAATTGCGACTTAAATTGCGCCAAGGTTGCATGACATCCAGCGAGGCGGACGACATAGCTTTCGACTCAGAAAACGATCTAAGCCATTCGCTAGACGAAATTTGAGTAAAATTTCCTACCTCCCATAAAGTGTGTAGGGTATAAAAAACTTAAAGCGAAAATTCTAGAAACGTAAGCGAGCGAAAGATTTCTTCAGAAAACTTAAAGCTAGAAAAGATTTAATTTAAATGTTAAGTACGAAATTTCAAGTAAGTCTTCTATAGGAAACTTGAGGCTAACCAAAGTCTTCTATAGAAAACTAGAAACTAGCGAATTACAGGAATCGGAATATTTTTTTCGGAAATATTTCTTAAGAATACTTGAAGATAGCGAAAGATTTCATTAGAAAACTTGAGAAACTTCTTTAGAAACTGCAAGCTATTGAAAATCTTAGATAACACGAAGCTAAAGAAAGATTTATTGAAATAATTGAAATATTTCTTTACAAATCTTAAATTTAGCGAAAGATTTCTTAAAGAAAGTTAGCTTCAGAAAACTTGAAGCTAACCAGTCTTCTTTTAAAAGATTTCTAGCGAAATCACAAATAAAGCGAAATACTTCTTCAGAAAACTTGAAATTAGAAGAATGAAGCTTTTTCTTAAAAAAAACTTGAAGGGAATTTTAAAAACTTGAAAGATTTCTTATAAATTGCGAATATAATTGAAGTTGCAATAGAATCTTTTTAGAAGAATGAAGATTTTTCTTAAAAAAAAACTTGAAGGGAATTTTAAAAACTTGAAAGATTTCCTATAAATTGCGAATAAAATTGAAGTTGCAATAGAATCTTTTTGAAAATTCTTAAGAAACTTTAAGTTAGCCATAGATTCTATGGAATCGTGCAAAACATTTTATTTTTAGAATTTAACGTTAGATCTTTTAAGAAATCCTAAAGTTAAATTAGCAACACTGTTTCATAGAGGCCACCACCATCATCATTATATTGAAAACAAAAAATATAAAAAAAAACCATTACCATGTTATGCCATACAGTATGCATTCATCTATTCAATGTATAGCCAACCGACAAGCAATGCAACCAAACCAACCATTCATTATTCACAAAAAAAGCTACAGTACTTTGGCCCCATACTAAAATAGAGAAACCTTTAAATAAAATGGCCAGATTTTGAGGTTTATGAAAATTAAATACTATAAAAATATTTGGTATACGATATAACCTGTTATGGGCTCCTTTGCCAGTGCCACTGATGGGAATCGAACCCATGACCACCAATCTGACGGACTAGAACATTAAGTAATTACATACCGGAGGCAACTATCATTGGACTATTGACTAGAAAAGACAGTAGACTAAACTATAGACTGGACTATACTAAAGACTAAACTATAGACTAGACTATAGAAGGCCAGGCTATAGAATTGACTAAACTATAGACTAGAAGTGTTTTCTTTAAGAAAAAAAAACCGCAATTCTTAAAATTAAGGAGATTTTATGAAAAACAATCATCTGGCATCACCTTTTTTTCTGGTAACCAGCAACAACTATAAATATTACGTTCGCTCGCTAGCATACACAAGTTGTGAACGGAAAAAAATATATAGAAAATTAAACGAAAGAAACAAAAAAAAAACAACAACACCAAACATATCAAATACAAACAAAACAGAAATATAGAGAAAATTAAAAGACGAGAAAACTAGCACGCCATACAAAAACAAAATCATACACTCGCGCGCACACACGATATCGACAACAAAACCAACAACAGTAGCACAAACAACAACAACAGCAATAATAATGTCTATTCCGACAAAATATAATGAGATACGGGCATAAAAAGCAAAGTTGTTATCATCGTGTTGCTGTTGTTGTAGCTGTTATTATGGCTTTTTTGTTGTTTCTTTCAACAGTCACGAATATTGTTAATATCATCATGGTTTTTATACCCTACACCACTTTAGTGGGGAGGGTATATTGGATTTGTGCTGATGTTTGTAACATATAAAAATATTCGTCCTAGACCCACCTTAAAGTATACCAATCGGCTTAGAATCGTTTTCTGAGTCGATTAAGCTATGTCCGTCCGTCCGTCCGTCCGTCCGTCTGGCTGGCTGGCTGGCTGGCTGTCCATGTAAACCTTGTGCGCAAGCTACAGGTCGCAATTTTCAAGATAATTGGATGAAATTTGGCACGCACGTTTTATTTGACCCAAGGACGAAGCCTATTGAAAATGGTTAAAATCGGTCCATTATTTCACCTAGCCCCCATAGAACAGAACCCCCCGAAAAGGGCTTCTGAGCTCATAATTATGTTAAATATACAGATATATCGATAAAATACGGCATAACTAAGTTTTATAGAAGTCTTGATAACCCTGCCAAATTTCATAAAGATCGGGCCCCATTTGACCCTAGCTCCCATACAAAGTCCCCTTCAGAAAATTACTTGAATGTCCCAAATTAACTTATAAACACAAATATCGCGATGAAATTCAGCACAATAAAATATTATGTAAATATAAATATATTCAGAAAATTTTATCGGGCTTGGTCCATATTTGCCCCTAGCCCCCATATAAAGCCTCTTTCAGAAAATTAGTTTTTCATCCATAAATTGCTTAAATGTATCGGAACAAGGGAATATTGAAGATAAATGCGATATTATGAATAAATAAATAAATATTCATAACTGGTGTAGGGTATCATATGGTCGGCCATGCCCGACTATACTTTCTTACTTGTTTTTTCATGTGTTAGAGTTGCCAAGGTAGATTAATGATAGAAGTGAAGTTAGCTAGTTAGTTAGTTAGTTAGTTAGTTAGTTAGTTAGTTAGTTAGTTAGTTAGTTAGTTAGTTAGTTAGTTAGTTAGTTAGTTAGTTAGTTAGTTAGTTAGTTAGTTAGTTAGTTAGTTAGTTAGTTAGTTAGTTAGTTAGTTAGTTAGTTAGTTAGTTAGTTAGTTAGTTAGTTAGTTAGTTAGTTAGTTAGTTAGTTAGTTAGTTAGTTAGTTAGTTAGTTAGTTAGTTAGTTAGTTAGTTAGTTAGTTAGTTAGTTAGTTAGTTAGTTAGTTAGTTAGTTAGTTAGTTAGTTAGTTAGTTAGTTAGTTAGTTAGTTAGTTAGTTAGTTAGTTAGTTAGTTAGTTAGTTAGTTAGTTAGTTAGTTAGTAGTTAGTTAGTTAGTTAGTTAGTTAGTTAGTTAGTTAGTTAGTTAGTTAGTTAGTTAGTTAGTTAGTTAGTAGTTAGTTAGTTAGTTAGTTAGTTAGTTAGTTAGTTAGTAGTTAGTTAGTTAGTTAGTTAGTTAGTTAGTTAGTTAGTTAGTTAGTTAGTTAGTTAGTTAGTTAGTTAGTTAGTTAGTTAGTTAGTTAGTTAGTTAGTTAGTTAGTTAGTTAGTTAGTTAGTTAGTTAGTTAGTTAGTTAGTTAGTTAGTTAGTTAGTTAGTTAGTTAGTTAGTTAGTTAGTTAGTTAGTTAGTTAGTTAGTAGTTAGTTAGTTAGTTAGTTAGTTAGTTAGTTAGTTAGTTAGTTAGTTAGTTAGTTAGTTAGTTAGTTAGTTAGTTAGTTAGTTAGTTAGTTAGTTAGTTAGTTAGTTAGTTAGTTAGTTAGTTAGTTAGTTAGTTAGTTAGTTAGTTAGTTAGTTAGTTAGTTAGTTAGGACTATTCCATTAAAACACTCTGTGGATTATGGCAACCCTTCATATTAAAACAAAATGTTATTTTAGTTAGAAGAGAGGGAGAAGAGTAGAGAAACTTATTTGTGTGTACTCGTTTAACTTGCTTACATAAATACATACAATATGGAAAACAACAATAACAATGGAACACTCATATACTCAGAGCCAACGTAGCAATATTTTTTCTTCTTCTTCTTCTCGCTGCTCTACAGACACAAAAGCAACAACAATAACACGAAAAAATCTATACTCTGTGAGGTGTGTGTGAGTAAATGTATAAACAGAAAGAAGAAATAAGAAAAAAATTGTGTTGTTTGTTAAATAAATGACTGAATAATATAAAATTTTAACAGGAAAAATGTTTTTGTATAATTTAAGAAAAAATTTCCGAAAAAATATAACAAAATATGTACAATTAAAGAATTTTAAAATATTTTTATAAAAGTAGGTATAAAAAAGTATTTCTTTTCTGTTTAAGCATTCATCTTGAGGGAGAATTTTTGTTATAATTAAGAAATTTTTTAATATGTTAAAAATTTTAGGTTTTTAGACGTTTTCTGGAGATTTTTTTGGCGCCAATTTTATTTTGTTTACTCATTTCGAGAAACAGGAGTATAAATTTCTACCGATTCTC